ATTACCGGCTGCAGCAGCTCGCCCTGGGCCGCCTGCCGCCGCCGCCGCCTCTGCCCCGCGAGCTGGAGCGCGACAGGGACTACGGGGGCTTCTACGAAGCGCGAGTGCGGCCGGCCTATGGGCTGGAGCGCGTGGCCGGCGTGGCGGCCGCCGGGGGCTTCCGCGGCGGGGGAGCGGGCGCCGGAGCGGCCGGCGAGGAGGAGATCAGCCCTGAGGACGACCAGCGAGCCAACCGCACGTTGTTCCTGGGCAACCTGGACATAACCGTGAGCGAGTCGGACCTGCGGCGGGCGTTCGACCGCTTCGGCGTCATCACCGAGGTGGACATCAAAAGGCCGGGCCGCGGGCAGACGAGCACCTACGGGTTTCTTAAGTTTGAGAATCTGGACATGGCGCACCGGGCCAAGCTGGCCATGTCAGGGAAGGTGCTTCTGCGCAACCCCATCAAGATCGGCTACGGGAAAGCCACTCCAACCACCCGCCTCTGGGTGGGCGGCCTCGGGCCTTGGGTGCCCCTTGCTGCCCTGGCCAGGGAATTTGACCGGTTTGGCACCATTCGCACTATTGATTACCGCAAAGGGGATTCCTGGGCCTACATCCAGTACGAGAGCCTGGATGCGGCGCAGGCCGCCTGCACCCACATGCGGGGCTTTCCCCTCGGGGGTCCCGACCGCCGCCTCCGCGTCGACTTTGCCGACACGGAGCACCGGTACCAGCAGCCCTACCTGCAGCCGCTGCCCTTGCCGCCCGCGGCTCATTACGAGCTCGTGGCCGAGGCCGCTGCGTTCGGGGCGCACCGGGGAGCCCCCCCGGATCCTCTGCGGGGCACGCGGGACCGGACACCCCCGTTGCTCTACAGAGACCGCGACAGAGACCTTTATCCTGAGGCAGATTGGGTGCCTCCACCACCCCCTGTTCGGGACAGGAGTAACCGGGCAGCTGCCTATGACCCATTGGAAAGCCTGGAACGGCGCCGGGATGGTTGGTCCTTGGAGCGGGACCGAGGGGAGAGGGAGTTGGGCAGTAGTAGCAGGGATCAGCCTCGGAAACGGAGGCTGGCGGAGGACGGCGGCCGCCACTTGGACCGTTCCCCGGACAGCGAGCGCTCTTCCTCGTCCCGCAAGCGTCACTGTTTGGCCACGGCGTCTCCCCCGGACCGCAGCCCGGAGCTTGTCGGAGGGAGGGAGCGCTACAGCAGCGACCCCGAGCGCTCGTCCCGCTTGCTGCTCTTGGAGCGGCCCTCGCCTGTCCGGGAGTCGCGGCGGGGCAGCCTCGAGCGAGGCCCGAACGAAAAGCGCGAGCGCAAGAACTCGGCCGAGAGGGAGCGGAAGCACCGCGCGGCCGCCGCCGCTGCGCAGGAGGGCAAGAGCCCGGCCAAAAAGGACGAGCGCGTCGTGGAGGGAGGCGCCGGAGGCTCCCGCCTCAAAGCGCCGCCTCCCCGGCAGCAGCAGCAGCAGCAGGACGGCGCGGCGCCGCCCGCGGGAGCCCCCAAGCTCTGCTTGGCGTGGCAGGGGATGCTCCTGCTCAAGAACAGCAACTTCCCGGCCAACATGCACCTGCTGCAGGGCGACCTCGGCGTCGCCAGCAGCCTCCTCGTGGAGGGAGCCACGGGCGGGAAAGTAGCTCAGCTCAAGATCACGCAGCGGCTGCGGCTGGACCAGCCTAAGCTGGACGAGGTGACTCGGCGCATCAAGGTGGCGGGGCCCAAGGGCTACGCCGTCCTCCTGGCCGTGCCCGGCGCCGCGGACAACCGCTCCTCCTGCGGAGCGAGCGAGGCCGCCACCACCTCCACGCAGAGGCCGCTCAGGAATCTTGTGTCCTACCTAAAGCAAAAGCAGGCGGCCGGCGTGATCAGCCTCCCCGTGGGGGGCAACAAAGACAAGGAGAACAGCGGCGTCCTGCACGCCTTCCCGCCCTGCGACTTCTCGCAGCAGTTCCTGGACTCCACGGCCAAGGCGCTGGCCAAATCAGAGGACGACTTTCTGGTCATGATCATTGTGCGCGGGGCATCCTAAGGGCCCCGTGTTTTCTGTACCTGACCCTGCCTCCTCCTCCTCCTCCTCCACGCAGCCCCTCCAGCGTGTGCCAGGTGCTATGGGATACAGCCTTAGCCAGCCCTGTCGTTATTTTAAATTAGATCTTTGTTTGTAGGTAACTTTGCCTGCCTGTATGGGGTTTTTTTTTGACCCTGTTACTACATTTTTTTTCTCTGTTTTAGAAGCCAGCAAGGTTGATTAGCCAGTAGCGTGAATAGGATGTGTTGAGAATCCCTCCTCGGTGGGGGTAGCGGGGAGGTTAGACCTGCTTTGAGTTACAGAAGAAAAATGAAAACTGGGGTGGGGGGTGGGAAGGGGGATGAACAAACTCCCTTTTTTTGTTTTGTTTTTTGTTTTGATCCGTGTCCTCTTTTCATTTCATATATATATATATTTTTAAAAGCAAGTTCAGTTGCTTGTCCTCTGTAGAGTTGCAAACCTAAAAGACCAGATTTAAAGCACTCAGTAGTTGAAACGGAAAACCACACACTTAACAGTGGACGGGTGTCARCTCATTTTTGAATCACTGAAATTCTGTGAATTCCTTATTCCTCAGGTCACTGATTTCAGACCTGATCCCTCTCCGTGCGGCGCCTGCCCCGTTTCCCTTCGAGCTGCCCGGCTCAGGGTTGATTTCTTTGAGGTGGCCGGCGCCTGCTCTGGGCTCCACCAGAGAACATYAATTCCCTTATTGGGTGTTTCATAATTTCATCCAGTCCACCAAAATGCACGCACTGAAAGTATGTTTTTTTAATATGAAAAAAAACAGGTGTTTTTCTCCTCTTCCTCTCGGTTCTGTTGTATCCCACGTATGCACTTTGGGTTTGTAGCAGTGACAGTGTTGGGTAACGAGCAGAGGACTTTGTTACAAACCATGAATGTCTTGTGCTTACTCGTATGCAAGAAACAAGGAGGTGCTTTAAGGATAACTTTAGTTATATTGTGGTTTTTTGTTTTTACTGCCTTTTTCCTTCAAAGAGTTGCAGGTACAGTGGGGTCTGCTGCCACAGTGCAAACTCTAAGCAAGTGTGCTTCTCTCCAGAGATGGCTTTTAATTCTCTAATAATTTAATTACATAAAAGTTCTCATTATCCTCTTACCTCTTTGTTAATAGCAAGAGACTGCTGTCTGCTAGGGACTTTTCAGGTACAGTACCGTGGGCATTACATGAGGTTTTTTTTAATAGTCATCTGCACTAAAGTGTTTTTAGCATCTTGGAGAAGTATTAGAAATCCTCCAAAGTGCTGCCATTGACCTTCTCTTTTTATGACTCCGTGAGGAAACCGTTTATCTTTTCCAAAGAACTTAGTTCGTTTTCCCTTGTGCTTTTGCCCCCACTCAGTGGGTGCTTTTCCCCCGTGACCTTGGACACTTGGCTGMTACAGGCCCCGTTTTCCTCCTGAGTGGGGCTTCCAAACCGAAATGCAAACTGGGCTCCATCTAGTTGTGCTTTACCAGCCCTAAAAAGTAGCCTTGCACTTAACGTCAGAATGTAACCTTGCACTTAGCCGCGTTTTTGGGAACTTGGGCAATGTAAAAGTGGTGCTGCATTACCAGCAGACCTTCCAGTACCTCACTGGGAAACTGCTACAGGGCCGAGAGTCAGTTTAATTTCTGTCTCTGTGGCAAAAAAATCCAGTTCAAAATGCAGAATAGTGTGTGAAGGAGGAAACGCCTTGAATGTATTTGATAGATGGAGCGATTGCTTTCCAAGAGTGACTGCGCTTGCTTTAGATTTGCTGCAGAGACGGGATATTCTGCAATATCCCTCTCCCTAGGCACTCCTCAGAGAGTGCTCCTGTTCAAATGGACTTCTTTTGGGGGCAAAAATGAGTCAGTGTTTCCCAACTACTGCAGCGAAACTGAAATGGGGCAGAGCAGTCTCTAAACAGGTTTGGTAGTGTTAAAGCTATTTTTCTTTCTGAGCAGAAACAACAAGCCTCATCTAATGCTCTTAAATGTTTTGGGGGTAAAATCCAGCGTTTCTGGATTGCTTTCCTTCCAAGTGAATGTAATAGACWGAGATGGCAGAATTCAGCTGTTTGTCTTCCTATTAACAATGAGAAGGTTTGGAAAAGGCACTGATAGCGCAAAAAGGCTGTAGGAGATCCGGTGTATTTACCACCTACTGCAAAGAATGTCTGTTTTAATTCCTGCAGGCAGCTACGTTGCGTGTCAGCATGGAACCAGCACTGCTGCTAACTCACTTGAAGTGTTTCTTGCATTTACAGTGAGTTTTCTCATGGCCTTTGACACAAGAGTTGCTTGCAAGCACGGAGGTTTAAAGGAAAGCGCCGTTTAACTTGAACCACCATGAGTTCGAATCCATCCCGAGCCGTAAAAGAAGCACTAACTTCATTTGTGTTCCCCACTTCAACCTGCAAAGCGCAGTGCTTGTTATGCTGATACGTGGTAGGCGCCTGTGGTTTTATTTTGTCTCTTAAACCTGCAAAACTTGGGGTCAAAATAGCTTATCCAAATCTAAAAGCAAATTTTTTTTTGCGCAACTACCTGGGGAGGAAGGGGAACTTTTGGAAAGAGCATCGTGGGTGCGTGGCTGCCGTTTCCTTGCAATGCAGCAGCGGTTGCTTTTGCCCCTGGCTTTTATGAATTGAGATGGGCTGCGTTGGAGGGCAGTGTGGAACAGGCGAGGCTGCCTTTGACCCCAGGTTTTCCGGTTATTCAGCGGAGTACCTGCTTCTTTAAATCTGGTTTATTTGTGGTTGCTGCTCTGTTTTGTAAGCAATTTTAACACCCTTCGAGGGTCCTGAACGTCCGAACATAATTGACGGGCAACCTTTAATTCGCCGGCACTTGGTCACGCGCTGCCATCAGGTCTAGCACGGTTTAGTCACTGTGCTTTTCCTCTCAGGCTCTGAAATGTGCAGCCKTGGAGTAACTGTCCCCCCAAAATCATCTTGGCCAGGGCTGAATGCAAGTGGAAGTCCCTATTTAATACCCCTTCTGTATAGAGCAAAACCAACGTAGCGGGCGGTAGCTCTCGAGCTCTGGTTGGCATTATGTGGCTCTGGGAAGAGCTCCGGATTTCTTCCAATGTCATGTGCAGCTGATGTTCCTATATTTCATGAGTTAAAGTTTACTGAATTAGTGTGGAAAAAGGATGTCCTTTTCCGGAATCATTTCACAGTTGTGCTTTATGCTTTGGGGGAAAGAACCTCAAGTGACTCATGCTTTTGTTTACGTTTTTTGGGGGGTTGTTTTGGGGGTTTTRATTGGAAATTTTACGCAACTTCCTTGGCCGCCAGCCAGGGCCTTTGTTTGCTCTGGGCTGGTGCACGGAGCGCTGCGAGCACGGAGGTGACCTCAAATGACCAAAATTTTGGGCCGCTCAGTTCCAGSTGTGCATCCTTGCGAGCGCTTTAGGGGGCCAGCGGCGTTACCTGTCGGGCCCCCAACCCGGTCCTCTCCTCCCCATTCTTCTAAAATGATGCTTAAGGGTGGAAACCGCTTTGGAGACAACCCTGCTCCAAGGAGGGCAGAGAACAGATGTCCCACGTTGCTGCGGGAACCATCTGGTTGATGGTGACTAGAGCTGGAAGCGTTTAAGGATTAATGGGGAGGCCGAGCGGAGCAAAATTGTGACAATGGCCTCGAGTCATCTGAGGACCGGGAGAAAGCTGCTCGGAATATCTTAGTTCCCGGCTTTGCTGGGAAAACCGGTGTTGAGAGCAGTGCTCCTAGTGAGTGTGCCGGATCGGACAGAAAGTGGAAGAAATCATTGCTGTGTGTCTGGTTTTTGGGGTTCTTTCCCCCCTTATCTCCCTTTTTTTGTTACTGTTTTCTAATGACTTTCTCTGGGTAGCAGCGAAGGGCACATGTTCCAGTGAAACAGCAACTTAATGATGAAATATTCTTTTTTGTATTGAACTGAAAGCAGACCGTATTGTTCTGGGGATGGTTAATTGACTATTCAACCTCATTGCGATTCTGTTAATGTGGAAATGACGGATGAAGAAATATTGCTCGAATGGTAACAGTTTTCAAATTTATTAGGTGCGTCTGATTTGACCTCTGCTACTGGAGTTGTCTGCTGTTAGGGTTAGGCAGCAAAGCCAGAGCAAAACAGCAGCCTGTAACACTACACTTGCGATTTCTGTTCATGAGTTGCCTTCAGGAAATGCTCTTTGAGGAAAGTCAGCCGCATTATTTATAATTCCGTTGGCTTTTCTCRCGGTTAATTATTTTGATGCGTCCCGTTAACCCTTAGGAAAGTGGAATGATCGCCAATACTGTAAGCCTAGATTAATGTTGGTCCGAAAAAGCAACCCCTGYGCTACTTGTTATGCATCTCTACACAGAAGGTGACTTCATTTCAAGGTTTTGTGCCCATGGGTGGTATCGGTGCTCTTTGAAATCCAAGGTAGCATCTTCCGAAAGGCCTCGTAGTTCTTTTCTGTTCATCCGTGTAATGTAGGGAGGGGAAAATCCGTTGTAGACATTGGTATTGAAATAACATTTTCTTTCCTCCTGCAAGCAAAGCTGGTGGACTGCAGAGGACGGCGGCGTGGGATTGCAAGCTCTGATGGACCTTTGGGAAGAGCGGCTGTGGCTTGTGTGGAATTTTACACGGGCCTCTCGATGGAAGAAAGCTTATCTGTTTAGTATTTGTGCATTTTACTAAAATGGCAGCTTTAAAAAAAAAAAAAAAAAGTTGTGTATCTGCTATTGTGATGCCAATGCCCGTGTTTTAAGTGGAAAAAAAAATGACCTCTTTGCTTTGTGCTGTGTACACAAGATTGCTGGAAAAGTAAAGGAATACCCTTTTTATGGCTCGCACAGCTTGAAAGTAGCTGTCACTCAAACATGCGCTCACAGTTGAGCTGATCTTGTTTCATTCTAAATAAATTGTTTCTTTTGAGGAAAATGGGTTTTCTGCCTGCAAGTGAATTGACGACAACTGTTTGAGGCCCCCTCTGYGCTTGCAGCGGCGGGGGAGCCGCTCGTAGTTGCGGGTCTCGAGCAAGAAGCGGGGAGCACCGGCGCTTTCGCGGTGACCAGCGTGTTGTGCCAAAGCAGGAGGATCTCGCTCGTTGCGTTGCACTCGAGGGGGTCACGTGCTGCTTTTCCCTCCTCATCTTTTACGAGGAAAACGGTGCTGCTGCTGGCGTGCAAGAAGCAGGGAGGCTCCCTGCGGTTCGGAACGGTCGCCGAG